AGTAAGCTGTACCTGTCAGTCTATGTTCACTGATCAATCACATTTATTTTCACTGGGAACATCTGAATAATTTATTTATTCTAGGATATTTCTCTTTTACTGAGATTTTATTACCATACACCTTATACGTACTGATCGTTAATAATGAATATAATGATTATCAATTAGCTTTTATGCTTCAATAAACTCCCCGGCAAGAAAGTGTATCAGTAAGTTAAAACTATGTCGAAAATGAGGAGTTTAGAAAAACACACTATATAACAATAGAGAAGTGTTGCTAATAAATCACTTTAACTGTAACTAATCTCTATGACATTGGATCAAATGTAGTAACCAACAAGTGTTGAGATACCATTTCAGCACGAATGAATTAACATAACTATTCATTCAGCTTGATAATTGTATGGTAAACCTGTTAGATTAAAATATAGATGGTAATGAAAATAGACAGTAAGACATATTAGATACATTCAGTGGGATTTCTATCATTACATCGGAATTTATTATTTATTTTAGATTAAAATAATAATTTGAAATGTTTTCTTTATTCAGGCAATATTTCATTTCACTAAATTTCATTTAGAAACCTGGTTCAAACTTTTTAGCCTAAGGATCTGACTCTGATTATGATAATAAAATATACGATTCGGATACTTTCGTATGTAATTATTGACTTGATTAGCCCTAGAAATTAACCGAATAAGTCAAATACGAGAATGAATTTTGGATACGCATGTTTCATACACTGATTGATTCACAGAAAGTCAAAGAAACGAAGCGGAGGAGCGAACTGGAGACGATAAACATACCAGCTCCGTTTGATCAAACGTGGCTCAATATTTATAGCCAGATAAAAATTAGCCAAAGACATGTGACAAATAGAGTAAGCGATTTACGCATACGCTCATATAAAAACAGTCAGGGCTGATGATAAGCGAATAATTGACAAGGTCAAAATGTAAGTCAATATGAATAAATGAATTTATCTGTCCGAAAGCTAAAATAGCCCACGTGTGACACACATTTTGCAGATTAACTCCATTTTCCCATTGTTCTATTAAAAACTGATAATTATTTTCATAAAATGTTCAGCTAGTAGTTGAAAAGTTGTTCTTTTTATCGTCTTCGTTTTAAATTACTAAATGAGTAACGGTGATTGGTAAGACAACTCTGAGACAGAATTACACGAATGATTTTTCTAGTTTGGCGTATGCTAAACGAAGAACTTAATAAAGAAAGTGAGACGCAGCCGTAAACCATCATCAGGCCACTGGTAAACCTAAGGAAGAGGTCACTATCCAATACAAAGGCCCAATAAATGATTAAATATAATTCAGGTTACTGACTAATATTTAGTAGTATGTCTTGTACATAAAAAGATCAACCGTTTGGTAAATGAAGCTAAAAGTAACGAAGTAATGAAATATGTCTTCACAAAATAATGTTAACTAGGATTTTGAAAAAACAATTTTTATTGGAACAAGACAGATATGATCCTGAGATGGCGGAGAATATTTGTAGCTCAGGTGCACGGTTTAGGGGGAGTTTTGTTCTCTGACCCGGATGGTTTGGTCATGGAGGTTTCATTGTTCCATTGAACAGCATTATCAGCACAAACTTCAGTTAGAAATGAAGTGTTTTATTTTCTTCACATATGACTCACAGCTTGTCCTGTAGACCTCAATCTTGAATGGTTATTGCTAACCTTTAACTTGCCATTGTCGACTTCTTTATTTTGATTGTATCTCCCTTTGATATAATTCACTTCTACCTGAAATTTGTACTGTTGATGTTTTTCGAAAGAACAATGAATACTCCATGACCAAACCATTCAACTCAGAGAACAAACCTCCATCTAAGTAATTAGGATCCCAATATAACTTTAGGTAACCTGCTTCTTATTTTAAATGAAATTTATTAACTTGATGTACTTGTATTACAGAGTTGATATTTATTCCCAATCACTAAAAGAATTGAACATAAATATTAAAAAAGTGCAAATTATTAGAAAATAATTACAGTATAACTATTTAGAAAATTCAATATATTTCAATATCATTGTTTCCATTTTATATTTACTATTATTATAAGATTATTTACTTGATCAAATGTTTGATGTTAACGGCTGATAGATAAATTATCAACTGTCAATAATACCAATGAACTATAGAACCCTTCAATTTTTGTTGTTGTTGTTTTTCTCTAAATAGGACATAAATTCTTTTCATCTTACTTCTTTATATTTAGAATCATCTTATTCTATTGTTTAGAATGAATGAATGAATCAATGTGTTATTGTTATTATCTAATGAATTTGTTATTTATATATTAGGCAATACATAATACTTTGATGTTATATTTATATTCTACTTTAAATATTGAACTGTGAATATAAAAATAGAAGAGCTAAATTTAAATACACTTTATATTAGTATATAATTAATTAACAATTTATATATATATAAATCAATCTTCATAATCAATATGAAACGAAATGTTCATTTTGTTGTATCCGACATCAGCTAATTAGTTAATTATAAATGTATATCACTATATTTTATACAATAACAACAAGAAAAATAGTTATTTAAAGTATTAATTTTACCTAATATCTGATTAGATTGATAAATGAATATAGATATATATTGAACACATAAATATTGTTATAAAGGGAAACCGAATACATATGTGTCACATTAATCATATGGTTGGTGTGTAGGCTGTGATACTGTTCGGGTGCCCAAACTAAAGTAAGTGGTTTTATGAGAGCGCCACATACGGAGAATTCGATCTAAAAGTCTGATTCACAAAGTAGTGAAACAACATTAGGAGATGTGGTCCTATGGTAGACAATGACCAATAATTGGTTCATACTTAATTTGTTTCCTCAGGATCGTGGAGCTAATGTGCAACATTAGTTTGGAATCAGGGTTCCTCAACTCTTCTAGGTGGATACTTCATATCCATCGACCCGGTTAAAGCATTAGACATTCACTTTTCGTCTTCTCAGTTTCGTATATAACATCCCTGCCTCGAGAAGCCAGTGAGTAGAACTTCTCTGTCAGTGGCTGTAATCGCGTGGTCATGTGAAGTTATTTCGAGAGGGAGAGCTGACTATCCCCACCCTTGATTGTACCAGGGCATTTGGAGGCGTGTATATAAACATAAATTCTAAAAATATTGTCATAACTTGTGAACCTGTGTGCCCCGTATATTGGACAACGCAACGATACCGCCAATTAGAGAGCAGTAAATTACCAATCGAACCAGTGATGCATAAAACCCATGCGAGAAGCCTAGAGTCCTGATTGGTCTCACTTTCCGCCTAGACCAGCCAGTTAAGTCCAGAATCTCAGTCTCTGTGATATGAATCATTTATTTCAAACATACTGGGTTTATATATCAACCAGACATACCATAACGTACGATAAAATGGGAAATAACATTTGTAAAAGAATTAGCCAAATGTGGCTGTGAATGAGAGAGATAGTAATTGATAGACAGTGCATAACTCGAGAATGGTAAATCGTATAGTAGTAGTCTATGGGTCAAATTAAAGCTTAGAATAAGAGGGACATGAATATGAACAGTTTAGTTACATAACAATTATACGATAAAATTATACGCATAGTACTGGTCCATAAATTGATCCAAAAATTTACTATTCATTATTCTTATCGGGATATAACAGATATCATTACCAATTGAATTAGAGTGAAAAAAAAACAGATCATACATGCTAATTGTTAACTATGGCTAAAGTTATTTATTAATTAAAGTGTTAACGTTGACGGAAGAATGATAGATTTATTTGTGTTGTATGTTTAATATAAACACTTATAATTCATTCTAATACTTAACAACTATCTTCATTTTCACTCATGGCTAACTTCTAAAGGATTATTATATATCTCTGTAACAGGATCATACTTCATTTTAATAAATGGTAACATGTGTATAGTCGATTGACAGCTACCATTTATTCTTAATCATTTCATTGAAAATCTAGAAATTATTGTTAAATGTTACAATTTAATAGTTGAATTCATGAGTCAATTGAAGATAGATTACGATGAAGAATATGGAAGCTTTGAATGGCCGTTTTGTTCTAGTACGGGACTCCTCAACAGTGCGCATCTACGATCTCGCCTAGCGAGATTCGAAGAAAACAATATTCATCAGAATAACAGTTAATAACAATTAAAGATCTTAAATGAAACTAAACACATATCTTAGTGTTATATCCCGATAAGAATAATGAATGGTAAATTTTGGGATCAATTTATGGACCAATACTATGCGTATATTTTTATCGTATAATTGTTATGTAACTAAACTGTTCATATTCATGTTCCTCTTATCATAAGCTTTATTTTGACCTATGAACTATTATTATACGATTTACCATTCTCGAGTTATGCACTGTCTATCAATTACTATCTCTCTCATTCACAGCCACATTTGTACAAATGTTATTTCGTATTTTATGGTACAATGTGATCTGTCTAGTTGGTATATAAACCCAGTATGTTTGAAATAAATGATTCATATCACAGAGGCTGAGATTGGTGTTCTGGACTTAACTGGTTGGGCTAGGCAACAAGCGGGACCGATAAGGACTCTAGACTGCTCACATGGGTTTTATGCATCATTGGTCCGATCGATAATTCACTGCTCTCTAATTGGCGGTATCATTACGTTATACATTAACAGGGCACTCAAGTCACAAGTTATAACAGTTAGGTAATGAATTTCTCACCTTACTATTATCAAAAACTACTATTCAATTGACATTCCTAATGACATATATACACCAAAAAGACTTTATATTTGCAAAATGAAGTCAATTATTTCATAGATATCTATTTAAATACTCTTTTAAATATTTTTTTTCTGAATCATTTAAACAAATTATCATCTTCTAGATGAAGTGAAAGAAAAACAAACTCATAAATAGGTTTAAATCTTTCTTTGTCAAATTTCTTTTTTTTAATTTTAAGATTCAACGACAAGAACAAGAATTGATTAGTGAACTACATCAATTTGTTGGTGAACGTAATATGCATCATATACAAAATCAACCAGATCAAGAACAAAATATTGAAATTGCTGAAAGTCTATTTAAAGATATTGCCAATTCATTAGATAATCAAGATATGGAATTATTATTAATTCGATCAAATCTATATGAAAAAATTAATGAATTAAATCATTTAGAATTAATTACAGATAAATTTGATGCGATTAAATTGGAAATATATTTTCGAACTGGAGCTGTCAATCTAGGCTATTTAACAAATGAATCAACAATGAATAATATACATCATCACGCAGACGATGATGATGAAGATGATGACGAAAATTATGAAGATTTATCTATGCCTCTAGAATGTAGTTCATCTTCGACCGGTTCTAATACATCGTCATCCATAGAATTGGCTAACAGGTAAATTTTTACTTCTTTACCGATCATTCTGGGGTTTTTTTCAGTCAATAAACGGAAAATTTGAATTTTCATTATTTGATTTTCAAAAGTCATTCTTTAAAAACTACTCAATTAAAAATTTACAACCTGAATTATGGTCCAATTTAGGTAATCTTGTAGTGGCTATCAGGACTCACTAGCTAAGTGGATAACGCGATGGCGTTTGAAGCGAACGGTACTGAGTTCGAGTCCCAGAGTGAACATTAACTCTGAGATGCAGGTACATCAAGCTGACGAGTCCCAGACAGGACGAAACGCGCGTCCTGGATTCCACTGCTAGCCACTATCCATCTTTGCTTATAATGCTTGTAAATTAAGGCAATATCGAAGCATACGCACAGTGTGCACATATGCCAATAAGAGACTGATCAATTTCAGTCCTAAAACATCAATGGGAAGATTCAAGATATCAAGTGAATTATTTTTTTAGTTAGTTTATTTGTCTGAATAGTTCACCTGACCCATATACATTTATCATAATTTATGAGTAGATATGGCTTCGGTTTATACTTGACAATCAATATGAAGAGGAAACGCGCTCAATAATAGCACTAAATAGAATGATATATAGGCTTTAATTTAAATTCGGGCATTTTCACCATGTAAAACTTTGATAGTACCTTTTTTAACTAGTCTTTTAAAAAAACTTCATACCACAGTGCTACGTTAAACATGGAAGATTTTTTCACTTCAAATGAATTCAGTTTTTTTAAAGAGAAGAGTGTCAAAATAAACTCTGTCACTGATTGACTATAACGGAGAAATCATCGAATGTCATGAAGCCCTAAATAATTGTTTCATCGTATTTACTTACTCATCATAAATGCACTATAGGGACCTCACCATGAAGAGACCTCTGGTGCATCAAATTTGATGGTTTTGATGAATATATCGAAGGATTCATTAAATATATGCTGATGAATTCATTTTATTTCATTCAGCTCTCATCAACTCTAATCAGTGATATTTAAATATTAAGATTTCAAACAACTTAATAACATCTTGAATTCAGGTAATACAAATTAGTCAGTCTATAATGTAAATACTAAATGTTAAAATGTAGCGACGTCTATATGAAACATAATGAAGTTATACGCTACGTTAATTTGTCACGACCAATCAGTAGATCTAAGGAAGCTTCCTGAAAATTGTTAGGAACAATAAGAGATTATGGAGGTTGAAAAAGAGGATCACACAGTTGAACAATCCACTTAGTCTCTAAAAAAACAAAAATTTACTGAGTTTTTAAAGTGTATTACAACGATTTTAGAGTTCTATATTGTTTATAATCAATTAACAAGACAATGACACTCAATAAAATTCACCACTAAATCTATGTGAAATTACTGTGATAATAAGTGAACAAACGGTAACACTATTAGCATAATCGGAAGAGTTAGCTTGATTTATTCCACGGGAAAGCACTTCAACTGTTGTCCAATATAAATAAGATTTCAGAACATAGTTAACTTAATAATGAATTAGAAGACTCTAGTGTTAGGTTATTTGATGGTAAACCATTGAAGATTTTACGCATCTCATTTTATTATCTTTTCTCTAATTTTGTTGAATAAATATAGACCATGCATAAATTCAACAGCTTGTCAAACAGATATAAGCTTAACAGATCCAAACGATCAATGTAATTTAACTGTTCAACAGGTTCAACTACCAACTAAGCAGTGCCGTACACGAGCATGCAATACAGAGTTAATATCGATGATAAATCAAGAAACAAATACACGTCCACGTGGTATTCATACAATAATCACATTTTCAGATATTTCTTCAAATGCAGCGTCGGAAGAATTTTTAGCTAAACTTGATAAAGAAACAATAAATTTTAATGAGATGGATAATCTAACTAGAGCAAGGATACGTCGTAAACTTCATGAACGTTTTAATACAGTTGATCAGATTTCAAACGGTGGTAATAGTAACGGTATTTTGTGTAATGCGCCACATACATCATTGCATATTGGATCAAATGGAACATCGCCAGCCTCAATAACTCAGCCAACAAATGTCAATAACAATACTACATATAATCATAACGATGTTCATTCAAGACGTTATAGCTCTTATGACAAACGTTTTCATTTCTAAATACGATTTCTCTTATTTGAAATATGCATCCACGTTTCGGTGTTTTAATATTTCCTTATTTAAAGTTTCATTAAATTCATGGACACTTGTAAACAAGTGACAATAAATTATAACCTAGTACACTGTTTTATGACTATTTTATTCTGTACTTATTACGTTAGGAAATTATGAGATATTTTTAAATATTTGTTTCCATAACAACTTTAAAGCAAAGAAATTTATTCCACACAACCAGTTTTTAGAGTTTGAATAGATCTACATGATTAAAAACCAAATGACAGGTATTCGGTAATGAATATGAAATTAATGATAGCTAACAAAAGTTAAACTCTATTCTCAAGCACGTTTAGTTTAGGTTAAGGGAACAGATCTCAGTTTAATTATTTGGGCAGAAGTAAGCTGTATGGGCGATCTTGGAAATCGCAATTAGCCTTGATCGGGATACTAGCTAATTGGAAAACAGTATTGTGGAGCTGGAACAGTGTGCAATAAAAACGTGATAAAATGACATGGAGGTAGGAGTCTGGACATTCATAATGAACCTTTGCATGTTTTGTGGCCCAATTGATCTGACTCCAATTAGATCGTACGAATGATTGTTATCGCCTTTTCTCGTATATCATCGTCGACTAAAATCACGTTAGTCAATAACGGAATTTAGATAAGTCAATTAACGAGAATGGCCTTTGAATACATATATTTTGTATGTAAAGCGAATGTAATAGAACAGAGCAAAATGACGCGCAGGGAAGATGGCTGTGAAGCCAACTCCCTTTCAAGCCAGGCATTACGCAATATTTAAAGGCAGACAAAATAAACAACAGACATGTGATGAGTCATGGGACATGAAGTGTACACACATATACGCTCATATAAAAACAATCAAGACTGACAAGCGAATAATTGACAAGGTCAAAATATGGCTCAAGTAAAATGAATTAAATAAGATGTCCGAAAGTTAGAATAAGGTATATGGGCTTGTCATAATAACTGACACTACACATGCAAGTTGTTTTCTACAGTAAAGGAAAATGGTTAAGGGTTTGGAGGTCGGGTTAAGAGCTAGGATTAGACATTGAGGTTACAATTCCGAACCTCTAAACAACTGTAGTGACTCACTTTTATCACGAGAACACGATTGGTTTATTGAAAACAATTATTATTATGACCAATTGTACCAGTGACTGTTTTAATGTGCTTTTGTTTAACTGTTCTTAAAAGCATCCATTATTCTTACACTTTGATTGTGACTTCGCGTGAATTCGGTTACGTTCTGTAACCAAGCTTGTATCCTGGCACGATCTCGGTATCCTTTCGGTGCCACGAGATCGCCAGCGAATATATCTCGATTTGGTCCATTAACTGCCTTTTGATATTTGGCTTCCGGGGGATTTTATGGAGTCATTTGGCACAAGTTTCTTGGTAGCAGTGTTCATAGTCAATCTCTACTCGACACCACGCTGCACAACATGGTATCAGCTATATTTCAAGAGTTAGAGTTACAAGGCGTAGCTCCAAAGTTACCTTACCTTTTAATTATATCGAATAATAAACTTCGCGCGTATATTCAGGAGACCTCCTCTTAAATATATTTGGTTCTTCAACGAAGCATTATAATGCCCTAGGGACATTCTCATCTCGATGAGCTTCGTTTTCATCCACCAGTTCTAATACTTTTGAACCCATCATTATACGAAACTACTTTGATTCATTTCAGGTGTATAGCCTGTGCGAACAGACGACAAAACGTTGTCGGGCTGATGACTAATTACTCGACATAGAATACTTCAGAGAAATACGTAAACCAAAAGTGGAATACTTTGAGATCAAGCGAAAAATCCGCCGGTCTTTTAGATTTTCACATAGTTTTGTAAAAGCATATCGGAGTGGAAGATATCGACTCATATAACCAAAAACCTTTTATCTATGAGTGATGAGATGAAAGAGATAAATGATAGGATTGCTAGTTACGAAGAACTGAGTACTCCCAAAGTAAACACCAACCAAGATGTATGAAGGCTTTGCACTGTGTTTGTGCTGATGGTCATTAATTCATCCAGCCAGTTTACACCCCCTCCCATATTAAAGCTAAAAATAAAAGAAATACCTCAGAATGATGCTACTGAAGTGAATGTGAACACCAGTCAGGACAACCAAATGCATTTAGATACAAAACTACAAAATATCTCAGCGAAATCTCAGAAATATATAGTGAATGCTTCATTTGCAAAATTTCAATCAATTGTCTCAAACTTGGCTGTTCCTTCGTTTCCACACCAATCATTCACTGTTCTCGTTCTCTTTTCTTCATTCTTCTTAGACTTCTGCCGCCAGGTATTTTGAGTAAACTAATGATTCTATGGAGGTCGTCCGTTATTTAATCGTCATTTAGATCGAACGATGTTGTCGAAAGGGCTCTCCACTATAGTGGCCTGAGATCTGACTCCAAGGAGATTTTAATGATGATTGTTGTTGAAATACATATGTCGCCTATCCTCGTATATAATCATCGACTTTAATCGCGTTAGTCAATAACGGATTTAAATAAGTCAAATAACGAGAATGGAGTTTCGAATATATTTTGTATATGAAGCGAATGGAATAGAGAGAAAAGAAACGACGCACAGTGGATATGGTGGGTAAGCCAACTTCCATTTAGTCAAGCGCTAATCAGTATTTATAGGCTGTTATGTTTCAAGCTTCACGATGTTCACTTAAACCGCGAACGAGGACATTACTCAGTGACCAAAGACCAGTGATCTAACTATTGACGCGTCCCAGCCCCGCTATCTAGAAGAAGAAGTTCAAGCTTGGTATGGAAAGTATATTCTGCAAACAGCCAGAAAACGAGCGAGCAAGCAAGCAAGCAGCAGCAGCAAACAAACACAATTTTAAACATACATATGTATTCGATATTGTCATAGAAAATTTGTAAACACTAATCAATGAGTTCATAAATTGACCTATTTGCCCATCGAATCGATAGTTCATCTATTGACTGCTATTCAAATATTTAATCGATCAGTTCATCAATTGACCCTAATACAAATATTTAAACATTTAATCAATAAGTTGATCGATGCGATAAAATTTAAAATATTAGTTTGGAGATCTATCGTCCCCAACATAGGCTTACAAAAATAAGTTACAGACATGTAATGAGTGATGGGATAATAAGTTTATACATACCTACGCGCTCATATAAAATCAGTCAAGACTGATAAGCGAATGATTAACAACATCAAAATGTGACTCAAGTAGGATGAATAGAATGGGCCGTCCGAAAGCTAAAATAAGGTATATGGGCTTAACATAATAACCGACACTAAAATTCCTTTGTACTTGTTGAATGCTTGATTTCGAATTCCAAATACAGTACATTCGTCCGTGCTTATCTATTACTTCTTGATCTAATTACGTTATTTCTGGGATTCTTAGTTCGTACTATGATTCAAATACTCCTAACCATCATAACACTACTTATATCTGTCGATGTCAGTAGAACACAACACACTATAACAGTGATCATCCCTTAAATCAGGAATAAGTCTAACAACTCAACGATGAACGTAATGTTAAGAAGTTGTTCTTGAAAGACAATCCTGTTCGTTAATCAGTTAAGCATGAAAATTTATAGAACAGCGAGTCGGTATGGTAAACTCTAAAACATAGAGTTCAGTAAAACAAAACCGTGGTGTTTAGTGATGGAACATGCAATAATAAACAAGTGGTCAAGAACCCAAAATTGTAAAAGATGAAGAGTAATAATAACTTATAACATCCGTATCTGTACTTCCTTGTCAACAATAAAATCTAAGGAGAAAGCTTCCGAATATCCAATCGAAACATTTATTGCACCAAAGGGAAGAAATTATATTATTCAGTAGATAGAAATAGGAAGTATAATACCTACGTCAAATATGGAGGTAATTCACTTCGACCTCTTAATCTGATATTTTTATTCGTATTATTATTCGCTTGCTTTTGATCCATGACAACTACGTTTGAGAGAGCAAACACAAAGCACATGAACAGAGTGACAGAGGAAGGTAACGACACACATGGAGTGGAACATCGTGTTGTGGTCGTATGTGTAGCACATCTGTTATATTTTTGCCTATATATTTACCTAAAAGATCCTACAAAGATTATATTTGAAAGTGTGGAAGCAGAAAGGAACTCAGTAACTTCTATAATTGTCCAGTTTATTCCGAAATACGGAAGTCATTAACTAAGATCACCTGAAACGTTTTGTGCCAACAATAACAGACCAAGAATCAGGGAAAGATTCATGGAGATTTTGTCTTTATTATAAATAGAATTGACTATTTGTCAATCTTGCTCCTGTCAAAAGTTGGACAAAGTAAACATCAGACGCCATTTGGAACTTTAATACATCACGAAAAGTCGTAAGCTCTTTGACACCAAAAGTGAAATACTTAAATATGAATGAGTCATGCCTGCTCAAACAAATGAAAGGATTTGTTTTAATTCCGCCTAACGGCTTGCGTATCTAGTAGCAGTGGATCACAAGTACCTCCAAGCGGGAATCTAGGCAAATAATCGATAAAAAATGGAAAAAAAATAGCGAATCATAGTAAGATACTATTCTTAGTCTTTAAGAATATGTCAAGTTTTTTTCTTAAAGGATTCCTGTAAAGTCACTTAGACTAGCTCAACTGGCAGTAAATTACAGCATTCGACTACTCGTAAGGAGTAGAATTTGTGTCTACTGTTCATTGAGCTGTGTTGAGTCTCCAGTTTCTTGGTGTTATCCATAAGGTTTGTGTTGGATTTAAAGTTAAGTGAATGTTTACGGGGATATCCAGAAGTATTTGGAATACTGTGAGTCATTAGAATGTCATCTCTAAGACGCCTGTACTCTAGTGGGTTCAGTGATTAGAGGCGCTCTTCATAAGGATTGGATTTGAGTCCCTGAATTTATTTCGTGGTTTGAGATTGGATACGTTTCAGAGTGTCCTTATCCATGTGAAGTTAGAAAAAATGCTATGTTCTCGTACTATAAATGGAGATTATATTGAAAGTTTTTCCATAAAACTGGCCAAAAATGCGCTTCAATATTACCACTGCAAAGCTTACTCGAAAGGCATTTTTGTCGCAGCGTAAAACTTCAAATCGTATGGTACCAATACTTCTAGATCATTTTCAACTTGGGATAACTCTGAAGAGGAGTTACCTAAATTGTAGCTGTAGTCTGTAACATCACTC